TATCACTTTTAATTAACAGACTAAAATATAAAACTGGAAGATGTTAAAGACACAGAGCTTATAAATGGCAAAGCAGAAATCTGAACTTAAGTCTCATAGGAAAGAGGTAAGAATCTGAGTTGTCCTATTTAGCAAATCCTATACACAGTGATGTGGAGATTATCGTATAGATCTATACATCTAATCTTTGATACAATGATAATAAAAATGGACAATAAAACAAAGAGTGCTTTTTTTATAGTTTCAAGGTATGTAAGCAAGAAGTCACTGATGAAATGAACAACCAAAGACATAAATAAGATTATAACTTGTGATAACTGTTCATCTGTCAAATCCTAAGGCTGGAAATATGTCCTCTGGACTGTTAGGAAAATACTTTCGCACTCAAGCAAAGTATCTCATCTCCTTCACTCTGGAGCCAAGAACACTGAGAAACATATACATGGACAAATATGTACTCCCACTTGTTTGACAAGTCTTGAGAAGTAGAAATGGTGCAGAAAGAATTAGGCAATGGTTGTTCATTGGTAAAGTTCTCATCTCCCATATGTAAAACCTGGGTTCAAATCCCAATCAATGTATCTTAAGATCAAGAAATAACCCATCTGTCAGCGGAGACCTGCATGCTGCTAACTAGACGTCAGCAGACCTTACAGACTAAGAAGAAAGGCCTGGTGATCTACTTACAAAAACCAGCTCATGAAAAGTATATGGCTACAATGCTCTGACTGCAGCCAACTATGGAGGAAAAGAAGTGGGCACTGGCTGACTCAACAGCAACTAACAACAACAAAATTACAACTCATATATATATATATAAAAAGATTAAAGTTCTGAGATCATTAATACAGTAGGCTATACTGTGAAGTCAAAGAATCTCCATGAGGTATTGAAAAAACATTAGACTAGAAATAATCATGAGCTCAAATCCATGTTGGGCATATCGACTAGCCTATCTGGACTACATCTCTCAATGAAGAGACTAACATCTACCTCACAGTATTTTTGTAAGATTAAATAACTGTTAATTGTTACTACTGTCTCTAAGATGAGTTCCTTCCAGTGTCCATATGTATAAAATGATAAGGTTTTACATGTTGGCATCCATCATGAATTATAATTTATATTGGAAGGACAGGACTGATACACTCCCACCAAAAATTCTTCCATTAAGTGAGAAGAAGTTGAGAAATAAATAGGTTCTGGCTCCCTACACTCAATCAGAATCCAGTTCTCAGAATTTCAGTGTCTTGACTGAAAACTCCACACTGCTTCCACCATACTAGTTAAGGACACATTTTCTCATCTCATTCTTCCCTTCACCGTCCTCTCAACTATAAAGAGGTCTGCATTCTACATTAAACCCACCAGTCTTCTGGTTTTCTCTAACTCCTTTTAGATTTCCAGTTCTGTGGCTCACAAAGATCTGTTTCATTTCCTCCAGCCTAGGTACACAAGAGATTCAGTATCCAACACTGGATCAGGGGTCAAAGTCATGTGGGACTGTTCCAAAGGCCACCAGCATGCCTGAAGGAGAAAGAAGAGTCATCTTCCAAGCACCTCAGAACTCAAGGAGGGTCAGCAGTGAGTTAGTTCCAATTACACAACAATGAGTTTGAGGATTTTGGGGGGGGTAGGAAGGAGCTAGGACTAACAGAGCAGACTTCACGGATGCTTCCAGTCTTCATTTGGAACATGTTTCTAACAGATGCTGCTGGCCAACAAAGGGCAAACATCTGAAAACAGGAAGCTCCCTCACCAAGCAAGCCCAGCCAGAATATGTCACCCACTGCTGCCTCCTAATGTGTATTTTAGTCACCACTTACTGAGTGTTTTCTATATGCTGGGCACTAGGAACACAAGTCCCACTGAGATGCACCCCTCAGTCTTCAAGGGCTCAAGTTAGGGAAAAAGATACCTAAGCAGGCAAGTGTAAAACGATACAGTAAGTATAGAAATAAAGTTGGACTTATTTCAGGTGGGGAATAGGTTTACTCCAGCAGTCACAAAGAAGAGAGTTGGAAGAAGGTAGTGAAGGGCAAGATGGGGTATCGGGAGCAAAGGGAATCAGAATGAACAAACAGATGTGACAATACAGTTTATGAGAGGAACTCCAGGAAGCTGGCTAAGAGTGGAACATAAAACGTAAGGGTGGGGAGAGGTGACAAACAGGGCTGGAGCTGGTTTGAACTTTGTCCTATCAGTATCAGGCAGCTTTACGCAAAGGAGTGACTAAATTTCTATGGTCATTGATTCAGCTCTTTTATTCCCTAAGGTGTATTTCAGGACAGTCACACAGTTGCTAAATAGAGCCTGGGGAGTTCCAGTCTAGACCTGTCTGACTCAATCCTGAAGGCATGCACCAAGCTTCCTTCAGTCTCTTGTCCCTCACCCATCCTTCTGTCCCCATCTGATGGGCCTCCTAGTAATGCTGACCTCATATAAAAAATGTGATGTGGTCACAAGGTGACTCAGCATCCCAGACTGCTCAGCCAGAAGTGCACGCTGAGCCTGGAGCCTCTTTCTACAGCCAGGGCCCTGGATCTGAGCAGGCCTCCAGTGAAGGCTGCAGGAGACAGGTTTGCTGCATCACTCTTGGATCCGGTCCACATCTGGCAGCTCCACCTACCGCTTCCTTCGCTCTGTTCTAGCACGCTCTGGTCCCTGGCTGGCTGGACCTGTCATTGGGGTGATTCTCATTTTGCAGGCAGAAGCATCCTTCAATGCCCTGCCTCTGTGATCATGCTGGCCGGGACTTCTAGTCTCCTGTACTTTTCAGAATCTGCCATTTGAATCTTTGAATCTTTTTTCCACCATCCTCACCTGTCCTCTTCTGTCCCCTTCTTCATTCCTCCACTGTATCTCACCTGCCTATGTGATGGGGTTCTGTCCACTTCCTCTCCCAAATCATGCTTCACAATTGGCTCTGCCTTGTTTAAGCCTTCCCTGATTACTCCTTCATACCTGGCCCCTCCATTCCACTAACTCTTCATTCTGAGCACTGAATTCTATTCACTTATATTAACTTCTATTCACTTACATTCCAATCACTCCCCACAGATTAATCCCCAAATCTGCCATGCATTTCTCACTCATGAGTTCCCTCTGTTTCAAATATTCTTCTCCTGTTTGTCCTCCAACTGCACTGGGCCTCATCCTTCCAGGCACAGCACAAATACCTTAACCTTAATGCTTCCCCCACTTACCTCAAAGACTGAGTAAATCCAACCGGACTTTGTTTATGTGCATTAAATTATTGGGGGGTTGGGAGGTTGTTTTTGTGGTTTTTTTATGACCTACAACTGGTCCTTTTATGTACCTGACATTCTTTGACAACTTAGACAGTAATAATAACTAATAATAATAATAACAGTAATAATAACTCAAGATGAACTTCATTCCATGATGGATTTCAAGCTAACCTGTCCAAATTTACACCAAGCACACAGAGGAATAGGGATCTGAACTCACTAGGATTTGAACCCAGGCAGTCTCACACTAATCAGATGCTATGCCACCTGCAGATCCTTAAATTTAAGTTACACTCAATTCTTCTAGCACAGTTGTTGGAGGTACCATCGAGTGGGGCACGGCTCAACCGATCTGAACCCTGGCCTATCATGAGCCATTCTCATTATCGTGTCTATAATTGTGCTCTGTATTTAACTTATTTAGCATGCATTCCCATGCCTCTCGTGTGTATGTTCTGTCTCTCCTAGGAGCCCACGAGATCCCCAAGGAAAAAGAAGCAGTTCATTTATTTACTTCACAACCCATCATCACAGAGAAGCAGCAGCTAGGGAGCACACAGGGAGCCCTAAGGAGGCAGTTAGGGACTAATTTTAGCTTCAAAATACATCTTCAATTTCTATAATATACAAAGGCATGATCTCATACCTGAGCTCATCGCCTCTAACATCAACAAGTGGAGGGCAGGAGGGACAATGGATGTGGAGAAGGGACAGGGACGGAAACTGAAGGGCTGCTGCCTGAGACCTGCCTGAGCCCTCAGAGCCCACGGAAACCCCTTAGTCTCCAGTATATTCAAGTCGCCCCTGCTGAGACTGGCCTTCAAGAGTGGGCGGCGCTAAGAGTGTGGGCTCCTCCTCCCCTCATCCAGAGCAGCCTTGAGAGCTGGAGAACCCACAAAAGCCGAGCTGGCTAGGCTAGGTGTGTTCAAGAGAGGAGGCTGAGCAAGCAGAGGTGGGGAAAAGATAGTATCAGGTTCCGCTGGGTTCCTGTGGCCCCAACTGAGTGTTCGGTTTGGTCACTGTCACCAGAACATCAGAAAAGGGACGTGATTTTTTAGTGGTTTGTTAATATAGATATGAAGGGTCAGGAAAAAATGGTTTTGTTTTTCTCATCCGGCAATGTTTCCTTACTATTCGTAACGATCTCATTACATAAAAAAAAAAAAAAAAGCACACCACAAACCATTTACTTTATTGCCCTAGCTCAAAATGTACAAAGTCGAATTGACTATCGGTCTTGCGTAAAATCTGACACCATTTTTTTCACGCTAGGATGTACTCTGCAAAAGCCAAGTCTATGTCCCCTCAGCCAACTCCATATGACCAGCTCCCAGCCCATCCTAGACATCCTCTGGGGTAAAGTGGGGATGAAATGCCCACCCCCATCCCGCAAAAGTTGTGGCCATGATGTGCACCACGCCTGTGTGCGCACAACCTCTCCTTTCTGCGGATCTGAACCATCTCCAGGATTTCTGTGTAACGCCCCTCACTACCCAGGAAATGAAGGAGACTGCGGATGACAGCACTGAAAAATACAGGGAGGACCATTAAGACAAGGGCAGTCAATCCGATAGGGAGCGAGGAAGACGTTACCTCTGGAAGCACAGTGGGTGGAACGCGAGCTCCAGACCTGGGGCACCCAATCAGCCTTCCCTGGTCCTGCCCTGGGGAGGAAGACAAACGTTCCTGGGAGGAAAGTCAGGTAGCCGGGCCCCGCAGCTGGTCCGGTTCCGGGACCACCTCACTTACCTGCGGCTCCACCAGCCAGCGCTGCTCCGCGCCGCCGGCCCCAGGATGCTGCCCGCGGAACGCCGAGTACACGGGGATGCGGTCCCGGGTGCTGTAGAGAGTGGCGAAGCGCTCTGAGCCCCCGGAGCGCTGACAGATCTTCACGTGGGAATCGGCTGCCAAGCCCGCCGGAGGGGTCTCCGCATAGAAGAACTTGTTACATTCGCCAAAGCCGGCCTCCTCCTCGCGCACAATCCGGCCTCCCAGCAGACCGGCCAGAGCGGCCAGACTGGCCAGCGCGAGCCAGCGCTCGGTGCCCATGTTGGCCTCTCCGCCGCGGGGCCAGACGGCCGGGCGCGGGCTCTGCGGGCTGGGAAGCGCGCGAGTGCTTGGCGGCGGGCGGCACGGCAGCGCGCAGTAGTTGGACGGGGAAGGAGGAGCCCCGAGTGGGCGGGGAGCGCGCGAGTGCACGGAGCCGGCTGGGTGGGGAGCGCGCGGGTGCACGGAGAGGAGCTGGGCGGAGGAGGAGCCGAGTGGACCGGGAGCGCGAGTGCGCAGAGCCAGGCTGGGCGGGGAGCGCGCGGGTGTGTTGAGTGGGGCAGGGCGGGGAAGAGCGCGCGTGGGCAGATCTCGGCTGGGCGGGGATCGCGTGTGTGCAGGGGGCTGAGAGGGTTGCAAGAGTTCAAAGAGTCGAGCTCAGCAGAGAAGTGGAAAGCAGGCACACTGAACGGAGAGAGGAAGTTGGAGCCTGGCAGGCGGGGATCGCATGGGTGCGTGGAGCAGGGCGTGTTGAGCCGGGTTAGGCCAGGATCACACGAGTGCGCTGAGCCGGGCCCGCTGAGCGAGGCTGGGCTGGGAAGTGGAAGCCTGGGCGTGGCGAGCCCTTGGTGGGAGGAGGGCCCCAGCGGCAGGGAAGGGCCTGCGTCCTGGGGCCACGCCTCTACCCCCTGAAGATGGTTGCATTCTGGGATGACGTTCAGAGCTAAACTCGGGCCTTGAGGCTCAGGTCACCTGCCGCTGCGGCTCCTCTTCTCTGCAGTCCACGCGGACAAGCGCCTCCATCAAATACAAGTTTGGGGCAGAGGGTTCGAAGGGCTGGGGAGGCATGAGAGCCCAAAAGCCTCCTGGAGTAGAGCGACCCCAAACCCCTCATGCATAAGATGCTCACAGTCTCTGGCTTTTCCAGCATTTGTGCCCAGATGCCCTTGGAAACCGGAAGAAGATTCTTCTCTATCCCCCCTTACCATGCACTTGATACTTTTGTGGCAAGTCAGAAGCCTTAGGACCAAGTACAGAAATCTTGCTATAGGAAGTTCCTGTGCTGGACAAGACAGCTTACTTGATGTAGGGGCCAGCCACCATGAATCTCACATCCTAAAAGCTTGTCATAAACCAGATAAGGACACCTGTTATCAAATGAATAATTTAAAACTGAACGTGATTCTGACCAGCCAAGAAAGCCAGCAAAAACATGCCTGAAAAATGTCACCTGAGCTAAGAGACCCGGAGAATGTGTAGACAGTAAGTAATGAGGCAGAGAAGTAAAGTGCTGTTGGGTACCGTGGAGTCGACCAGGAAGGTCTTCCTCTCTTTGCTGACCTTCGTGATGCTGTGTGTGCAAAATGAACTCCCAGGAAAAGAGAGCATGGTATATTAGAGCAATCTAGTATTTATATTTTTATTACACTTAAAAAATAATTGCTGCTGTTAATGGGGAAAAAAAAGTGTTTGACTCCTAACGGCTAATAAACTGCACTTTGGAAAGCAATATTATAGATCGTGATGAAGAATTTTAGCATTTAATGGTAGTAACATGAATGGGTTGAGTAATTAAAAATAAATGGGGGTGGGGAAGCTTTTGCAACACTCCAGGTGAGAGATGTCGATGACAGGGACTCACTCACACATCACCATGCGGCCAGAGCCAACACATAGCTGAAGGGAGACCATAAGTCACAAGGGAAGAGGCTGGCCATCTTTCTTCCACAAATCACTCGTGGAATCTAACAACCAGAATGGCACTGACTTTTTGTGAGGAATGCAATGCCAATGCAGACTGCACCACCTGAGCTCCCTGGTAGCTGGGACTGTTGTTGTTATGTGCTGTTGAGTCAAGTACATAGTGACCATATAAACAACAGATCTGAACCCCCCCCTATACTGTGCCATCCTCATCTCTGACACTCTAGAGCCCAATGTCATTGGGCGTCTCCTTCTCACTGATCGTCCATTTTTCCAAGGATGATGTCCCTCTCCAAGAAATAGCTTTTCCTGGCAACAAAGCGTTGTTGTCCTTTGCCTCCTAGGACCACTCTGGGTATATGTTCTCCAAGATACATCTGTTATTTTGACAGTCTGTGGAGTATTCAGTATTCTTCTCCAACACCACAGCTTTGCCCAATGCTGTATTATAGAGATAGAGCCTATACTTTAGCTTATACTTAGACCAGGTATGTTTACTCAACATCTTATTACTGAATTTCATTGTCCCAGTGTGTTGCATGGAGTATTGAAAGCTGGTCCACTTAAATGACTTCCTCGAGATGGCTTAACAAGTGATTCCTAAGCTACATTAGAACCATGCTGGCTTCTTTCCTCATAGTAAAAGGAGATCAGAAGCTATCTAATAGGTAACTAATTTTCACAAGGAACTTTGGAGCCAAAGACCAAATTCCTCATACATGTCAATGCCTGCAAATGTTGACTAGGTTTGGTTCCTGAAATTGTTAGTCTGCCTCATTTATAAATAAGAAGACACTTTTCATGTGATGCTACAAAAGGGCCTGGAGCCCTCTCTGCTTTGGGGTTGACAGTTCTGTGATTTGACCCAGTATTTGGGCCACGTTGTCTCACTAGTGTAGGTCTTAATCATGGGGTTGATGACTTTCCTGGGATGCTCTGTGTGGGTGTACCCCAAGGTCATTCATGGTGTCAGTTATAAAGAATTATACAAGCACAATTATTAACTAGGAATTAATCTCTCCCCTGTGCTCTTTGTATAAATAACTATTACGGTACTTATGTTGGGATTTTAATAATCTCCATGTCTGTCTGCTCGAGTAAGTCATGAACTCTCTGGGGCCGAGGGTGGAATCTCTCTTATTTCTGGATCTCCAGTGACTGCCTTCAAGTCTGACATAGTATGGTGTGTGATGAGTATGAAAGAAAATAATTCTGTAATGCATTAACAAATGGCAGAATAGAACAAACAGAATTTTTGGCCTTAATAACTAAAGTTATAGACTTTTATATCACTGTTTTTGAAACTCTGTTGAGTCTTTTGCCTTTGATAATCTCTACTGGCAAATCTTCATTTCCCTCCATCTCTCTGTCAGTCAATGACATGCACATTCACAGAACATTTACATGCTCCAGGATAATTTTCCCCCTATTTTACATCCTTTAGTTTATGGAACAAAAGAATAGCAAATTCTTTCCATGGGTTTGCATTCTGAAGATGAATTATAGTGTTGAACAAATTATTGCCGATTACAAATCCCAACACCTCAAATGTTTGGGTCACATGACAGGATAAAAGTGCCTTAATCAGAATTTATTTTCTTAACTGCTCATTCCAGGAGAAGCTTGCCTTTATGATTGTCTTTCTTTGTGATGTACTATCAAAAAGTCACTGCTGTCTCCCCACTGCAGTATCTCTAGTTTGTTTTCTGAGATTCCCTTGTGACAGGGAAGAAGCATTCCAGTGAGAAACAGGCCTCTGAACAATACACATGCCAAACTTCCAGGTTACAAGAACCTCCAGGAAAGGTTTAAAGAGGAAGACAAGTGACTGGTGGAGAACAAAATGCCATTTTGCTAGTCGCACTTCTCTGCCTTGGTGGGCTCTGTCCCAAGCATGAAAATATGAGCTTAACTAGACTCTTCTTCATCCTCACACCACCTCCGTGCTCTTACAACAGTTCATCCCTCAAATCACCAACCACTTCTTCTTTCTATCCACCCCTCATCCTCTCATCCCTTGCAGTCCATTCTCAGCTGGAGTGACTTCCTAAAAGAAATCTGATGATATCATGCCACTTTCACAACCTTTAAGATAAAGTGTCAACTCCCGAGCTTGCCCCGCAAATCCGTGGAGAACCTTGGCATTCCTCTCCAGGCTCCTCTCTTGTTTTTCTCTCTTCTAGTCTCTAAGCAATAATTCCTTCAACTTCTTGCCGTTCCTCCAGCAGGCAAGCCTCACTCATGTCTCTGAGCTTTTGCATCAAAAATTTCTTCCCTTCTTGACCTGGAGTTTTGCTGCTCACTACCGATCTGCCATTCCTTTCTTTTTAAAAACAATACAGTTTAAACCTCGTTTTCCTAAGTCATCGACCTTCTTGATAAGTATGCTGTCTTCCACCACTGCACACAGAGAACCAGTTAAGGATCTCTTGCAATTATGCCTAGTAAATCCAGTACTTCTTTTGTGCGGTAATTACTACCTTTACCCCTTAGATTTAAACATAGTGTCTGGTACAGAATAAGCATTGGATATAGTGAGTGAGAGAAATGAGAGACCCTTTTCTCCATAAAACTTCATTTTTATTCTTTTGTTGGTGGTGTAGTTGATTCTTTAAGGTATTTTAAAATTATCTTTTTTCCTTTTTAACTTCACTTTTATAATATTAGCATATTTTGAAGAGTCCATCTCAATCTCCTTGTAGAATGTTTTTGCTGTAACACATTTTTTTAAATGTTTTTAAATGCCTACAAATCTCCAGGAAGTGTGGAAGATGCTGAGTGTAAGGGAGGAGCAAAGCCAGATGTGGTTCTGTTCCCATTGCATTCGTGCCAGCACCTCCGGGTGCCACGTGAGTGACCACAGGAGAAAGCAGAAGACTCTGGTTCTGCCTCTTAGTCAGCTGTGAACCGACCCTCTGCCAGGCTGCTTTCCCTTTGGCCAGGAAGGGCAGTGAGGGAAGCCATCAGTCAGTCAGTGAGGTCCGTGACTCTGAGCTCCTCCGGTGTCCAGCCTCACGCTCATGCAAGGCTGGCTTAGTCTTTGCACCAGGAAACTTGAAGAAGGCAGACAAGCAGTTACAATACAGTGTGAGAAATATGACGATACTGTGAGTACTGTGCGTGTTAAGGTCGCAGAAAAAGGTTACACAAACTAATCGGTGGAAAAGAAGTTTTAGAAAGATAATGGTAGTGGTGGTGGCAATGGTTAGATGCCATCAACTCAGCTCGGAGTTAGAGTGACCCCAGCACTCATGGTGTCAATTTGTCTGGTGGAGAATCTTCCTCCCTTTTCCTGACCCTCACCTTTCTAAGCATGATGTCTCTTTTCAAGGAATACCTTCTCCTAACAACATGCCCAAAGTATGTGAGACAAAACATTGCATTTCTGCCCTCAGGAAGCATTTTG